AAAAAAAAAAAAAAAAAAAGTTGCTGATTGCACTATACATGACAGCAAAAACATTAATAAAGGGTTGGGGAAGTAAATTATGACATAGGAACTTCTATAATGATATAGATCTATATTGATATAAAATGTTTCTACTTTCAAGTAAAGGAGGCTTTAAGAGTCTATGTGTGATCATTTTTGAAAAATAAAAATACATTATATAAATAAGAACTGAAAAATAATAACTGGAAGAATATACATCAGAATTCTAAGAGAAGCTATCTCTGAGTAGTAAAATTATCATCAGTCTTTATTCTTCTTTACATTTATTAAGTAAAAGTATACTTTATACTTATTTTCTTTCTTATACTTACTGATGTTTCTAGAACTTCTGAAAATGAGCACACACTGGCCTCTCATTTAAAGCATAATCTTTTTGGAGTAAAGCACCAAGAAATTAATAACATTTCAAAACTGTACTTGCAAAGAATTCACAGAATTAGAAACTCACTCCCACCAAAGTTGGTTTATTTTTTTGTTTTTGTTTTTTTGGTGAGAGTGTTTCATGCAAATAGCGTAATTCAGAAATTTGGCTAATAGCCCAGGGTGTGAAATACGATGCGTTATTCTCAGTATGCATGGCAATTTCCAACTTCGTTAGCCACTTGACCTTGTACTAGTAAGAAATACTAGGACTCAAGGCTGAATTTTTGTTTGCTAGGTGTTTTTTCCCTTAGCAGAGACATATCCAGACAAAGAAAGTAAAGATTCTCACTGAGCATCTAACTGGTATCAAGTAATAAACAATAAATATTAAATGTGCCTAAGATGAAAGAAAGTACTAACTTTGGAACATTGCTGGGTTTAGCATAAATTTAGAATAAAAGAAATGTAACTGATTAAGAATTCGTATATTCTACAGCTTTAATGAATGTTGTCTTTAGTTTCTGGGGGGATGCATTTCATTTGTAAATGTTTAGTATATTTGTTTTTCCCTCACAGTTTATTTTTTAATGTAATATGGTAAAAAAAAAGTTCAACTAATTTTTTTTCCTATGATTCTTATAGTCAGCTTTATGTATTTATGTTTAATTTTTATTTAAACATTTAAAATTATTATTATTATTATTTTGAGACAGGGTGTCTGTCACCTAGTCTGGGGTGTAATGGTACAATCTCAGCTCACTGCAACCTTCCCCTCCCTCGCTCAAGCAATCCTTCCATCTCAGCCTCCTGAGTAGCTGGGACTATGGGCATGAGCCACCATACCAGCCTAACTTTTGCAATTTTTTTTTTTTTTTTTTGCATTTTTTGTAGAGACAGAGTCTTACCATGTTGCCCAGGCTGGTCTCAAGCTCCTGGGCTCAAGTGATCCACCCACCTTGGCCTCCTAAAGTGCTTATTACAGATATAAGCCACCATTCCTATCACTTTTGAAGAATCAAATTATTAGTAATTGTTAGTAAATTGATAGTTATAATCGGAAAAAAATTTTAAAATTCTTTGAAATACACATGTTCCCCAACATTAAAGCTTTTTGTTGTTGTCTGCCTTGGTTTGATACTGTTTTTTTGATTCTTCTGGTCCCTGAATAATACCAAAGTTTTATGCAGTCATCTTTCCTTTCTCTTCCCCTGTAGCTTTACTTTTATCTAAAACTATTTTATTACAAAAGAAGTAGGTGGTAGAGTTCATGTAAGTGCTATAACTATTTTGATTTTGTTTTTATTTTAACATAGTACTTAATTGTTTTCTTTTCCTCTCACCTGGCAAAATTATTTTTTTAGAAATCCCCAAGTGAAATTGCAGCTTTCTTTTTATACTGCCTATATTTGTAAGGCTAGGTTTGCTCAGTGTTTGCTTACAGACCTGACTGCTAAAATATACTATAATAGCCTCTTTTTCCCATTTCAGTTTAAAATCACCTTCTTCCTGATTCTTGTTAGGAAGCTCTTTCAAAGTGTTTTCTAACAAACTGGGATCTCTTCCAGGTTCCTCCTTGAACAAAGTTACACTAATTGGTCTGTGGATTGTTCCATCAACCTCAGTACCACCATTATTAGTCTGCTGCTCATCTAAAATAACTGTTGATGATGGTGAATAAACATTTCCTAAGTGGTCCATTATAGGAAGCAAATATAATTCTGGTTGAAGAGCCTAAAATATATAGGAAATTTAAAAAATTAGTTTGTAATTAAAAACAGTGCTGCAAGTTAAAAACTAGCATAAGTTTAAAATGCCATATTTACATACATATGGAGGAGTAAATGATCTGAGTTTCAGTTCTGATTCTTGCTTTTCCTTCACCTAGAAATAAGTAAATGAGAAAAAAAATTAAAGCTTTTGCTACATTTTTTTCAATTATTTTTACCTCTACTTTTTTTTGCAGAAGGCATATATTTGTGGCAAATATAAAAATCAAATTTAGAAGCTAGGAACTCCAGGTAGATTCTAGAAAATGCAGAATATAATGTTACTTTTATTCACTGTATCAAACAGATATTCTATGTCATTTACTAATAATAACTATGCCTATCTCTTACATGGACTTACTATGTGCCTGGCACTATTCTAAGTGCTTTACACTTAGTAAACATTGTATAACTAGGAAATTTCCAAGTTGGGATTCAAAGCCAGGTCATCTGACCCCAGAGTCCAACCTAGTAAACTTTATTTCTTATATATTCAACCCTACAGAGTTCATTTGTTATTTATTTCACAAATATTGGGGGACTGGGCATGGTATCTCACATCTGTACTCCGGCACTTTGGGAGGTCAAGGTGGGCAGATCACTTGAGGTCAGGAGTTTGAGGCCAGCCTGGCCAACACGGCAAAACCCAGTCTCTACTAAAAATACAAAAATTAGCCGGGTGTGGTGGCTCCCAAAGCTACTTGGGAGGCCGAGGCAGGAAAACTGCTTGAATCCAGGAGGTGGAGGCTGCAGTGAGCCGAGATCAATCCATTGCACTCCAGCCTGGTGACAGAGCAAGATTCCAACAAAAAAACAAACAAACAAATCAAACAAACAGTGAGGGCTTACTATCTGTCAGGCAGTGTTCTACATGGTAGGGATACAATGATAAGTAAGGCAAAATCTCCACTGTTACGGAGCTTTATTCTACTTGGGAAAGCAGATATTAAATAAACAAACACAATTTAGGATGGTGATATATGTTTTATGAAAAGAAAACAGAGTGATGTAATAGAGAGGAACTTGAAAGAATATCTAAAAACTAGTTGGTCAAGGAAAGCCTTTTTGAAAAGATAATACTTGAGCTAAGCCCTGAATTATGAAAAGAAGCAGCCAGTTATCTGAAAATCAGGAGGAAGTGATTTCTAGGCAAGTACAAGGACCAAAAATCAGAAATGAGTCTGCCATATTTGAGGACCAAAGGAAGATTTCTGCAGCTGAAGTATGAAACCAAGGAGAAAATGGTCACAGAAGAAATTTGAGAAGCAGCCTGTTCCTTAGGCCCACATTATCTCTTGCCTGAACCACTGTAAAACTTTCCTACTGAAATCCCTGCTTCTATTTTCTTCTCACTTCAAACCATCCTTCTCGGTGAGGCCCAATTAATTGTACTGAAAGCTCTGATCATGTAATTCTTTTAGTCAAAAACTCTGGAGTTTCAGGAAAAAATCCAAACTATTAATCTAAACTTGAAGGCATTCAAGACCTTCAACAAACAACTTTATAACTTGCTCCTCACTATTTCATGTCATCAATGCCCCATTAAAAAATGTACCATTTATTATTTCCGAGTTGTCTGCTTTTCTACTCCTGCGCTTATCCTATTTTCTGTGCTCAGAAAGCTTTTCTCACCCTTCATCTTTGCAAGAACAAATATTTTTCTTTCAGCATCCAAACTGAAATATTGCTTCTTCCTCAAAGTTTTGTGCCTCCCCTCTTCCCCTGCTGGAAGATTACTTCCTTTTCTTCTGAATACATAAAATATGATATTTTATTTATTTATTTTATATATTTTAATCTTCATCACTACACTGAGCATTCTTTAAGGGCAAGATCCATATCTAGTTCTGTTTTCTAGTTTAGTATGTAGAAAAACATCAATAAATATTTGTTTAAAATAATATTAAAAGGATTTTAGAAATTGACCTAAATTACTTGGAAGTCCCTTGCAATCTGGGATTCTATGATTGCTATTTTGTACATTTATATATCATAAAAAAGAACAAAAAATTATGAGTTGTTAACTTTCTTCTGAGAGGAAAACTGACTTAATGATCAGTAAATTAATATTAATATGCCAAAGGTCATACTAAATAGAACTCTGATGACAAAAACTTCTTCAAATTTAGCTACTGAGACTCAACGATAAAAGAAAACTTCAGGCCAATATCCATGATGAACATAGATGCAAAAATCTTCAATAAAATACTGGTAAGCCAATTTCAACAGCACATCAAAAAGCTTATCCACCATGATCAATCAAGTAGGCTTCATCCCGGGGATGCAAGGCTGGTTCAACATATGCAAGTCTATAAACGTAATTCACCACATATAAACAGAACCAAAGACAAAAGCCACATGATTATCTCAATTGATGCAGAGAAGGCCTTTGACAAAATTCAATAGCCCTTTATGCTAAAAACCCTCAATAAGCTAGGTATCGATGGAACGTATCTCAAAATAATAAAAGCTATTTACGACAAACCAACAGCCAATATCATACTGAATGGGCAAAAACTGGAAGCATTCCCCTTGAAATCTGGCACTAGACAAGGATGCCCTCTCTCACCACTCCTATTCAATATAGTACTAGAAGTTCTAGCCAGAGCAATGAGGCAAGAAAAAGAAGTAAAGGGTATTCAAACAGGAAAGGAGGAAGTCAAGTTGTCTCTATTTGCAGACGACATGATTGTATATCTAGAAGACCCCATCGTCTCAGCCCAAAATCTCCTGAAACTGATAAGTAACTTCAGCAAAGTCTCAGGATACAAAATAAATGTGCAGAAATCACATACATTCCTATGCACCAATAACAGACTTAAAAAGAGCCAAATCAAGAATGAACTGCCATTCACAATTGCCACAAAGAGAATAAAATACCTAGGAATACAACTAACAAGGAACGTAAAGGACCTCTTCAAGGAGAACTACAAGCCACTGCTCAACGAAATAAGAGAGGACACAAACAGATGGAGAAACATTCCATGTTCATGGTTAGGGAGAATCAATATCGTGA